CAGCAAGGGGGGTGAGAAGGTCCTGGAACGAATTATCACCAGGGATGGCTGAATACATTTCAATACATAAATGTTCCGAAATGACTCACAAAGAAACATAATGAAGTAGTCAGGTGAACACCTAAACTTAAATTTGCCCTGAATGCAAGAACTACAACTACAGATGGATACAGGTGTGTTCTATGAGTGCCTCAAATACTGTGAGTTGCTTTGCCATTGGTGACATGATTTTTAAAAGTGGCGATCAGCTCTTGGTAATGTTCAGGAAAAAAAAAGGGGCAATTACATAGTTGCTTCATTCATTGAAAGTTGAGTGTATATTAAAACTTTTACTTATATGTCTAAGGAGTTCCCTGGTGAGACAAATGGTCAAGTGTTCGACTGCTAACTGAAAGGTTGCTCAAGGGAACCCTCCTAGAGGGACCCTCCCAGGGGAACCCTCCTAGAGGTGCCTTGGATAAAAGGCCTGGTGATACTCTCCTGAAAGATCACAGCCTTGAAAACCCTATAGAATGTGGTTCTACTCTATGGTATATGGAGCCATGAGCAGAGGAATACCAAGGGTATGGTCAATAGGGCATATGCCCCAGGCGCCACTTGAGGAAGAGCGCCAATGAGCAGGTTCTATTGGCCATCACAGTTTCCATCCCCAGCTATGAGAGACCATTCAGCAATTAACTTCTCTAAATATGTCTTTGGCCAAGAGTTGGAATCAGCTTGATGACAACTGGGTTGGTTTGGTTTTACCTGTGAAACTTAGTTCATTGCTCAGGCAATTATAAACTGATTTTTCATGTACTAGGATGTCCATCCAGAAAACCAAACACTGCCATCAAGTTGTTTCTGAATCATAGTGACCCATTGGTTTTCCAGGACTATAAATCTTTACTGAAGTAATCGCCCAGTCTTCTTTCCATGATGTAGCTGGTGGGTTTGAACCATTGACCCTTCAGTTAGCAGTCAAGTGCCTTATGTACTACGCCACCAGAGCTCCCGGTGTCCATAGGGACATTGACAATTCATGTATGACCTGGGGCAATTCTTCATGGTATAGGAAAAACCAAAAAAATCACTGCTATCAAGTCGATTCCAACTCATAGTGACCATATAGGACAGAGTAGAATCACTCCACAGGGTTTCCAAAGCTGTCAATCTTTACAGAAGCAGACTGCTGCATTTTTCTCCCATGGACAAACTGGTGGGTTTGAATCTAGCAGTTGAATGTTTTAACCACTGTACCACCAGAGCTCCTTGTTGTTGTTGTTGTTGTATGCCGTCGAGTCGGCCCCGACTCATAGCGACCCCTCCTTGGGTTTCCGAGGCAGTATCACTACGGAAGTAGGATTGCCCAACCTTCCTTCCGAGGAGTGGCTGGTGGGTTTGAACCGCCAGCCTTCTGGTGAGCAGTCAAGTGCCTTAGCCACTATGCTACCAGAGCTCCTTAGGTCTACTATATCTCCTCTCAAAGTATCTGTAGGGAAGGTATTGACTGGCATGTAATAGACACACAGGCAGTCCCTGGATTACAAATGCGTTTGTGCTACAAGTAAAATGCTGTCTCTCAACATTTCTTTGAATGTATTCACTTGTTGGATTTCCTCCACTAAGACCCACAGAAGGGACACTGTCTTCTGGGCCCAGAACAGAGTTTGAGCCATGGTAGGTGCACACGAAACTGGTTCTGCTGTCATCAGGCGTATCATTTTGGGCAAGTCACATTAGTTTACTCATAGGTTCCTCAGCTGCTTGCACTAACTTGTGACTTGGTAGTATCCACCTTTTGTATTGCATGGATCTCCTAGACTGTGGAGTGCAACACAAATGTGCAATTATGCTTGTCATGTGATGTACTTATACACAGTGCCTTCCACTGTGAAAGTACCCATTCAATAGATGTTTATATAACAGTGACCATTTATTCTTAATATGGTCGTCTTCTTAATATTCTTAACATTTAAGAAAACATGCAATGCATCTACAAGAGTTTGCCTAGGGTCTTGGGAGTGAAGAATTTTGGGAACATGGCAGCTACCAAATCAACAATAATAAGTAATTGGCTTCATCCTCATCTTTCAAAGGTCAAACTCTCCACCACTGCCATTTGGCTCCCTGAACTCGCTTTCATGCCTTCATTAACCACCCTCCCTCCCATAAACCATCAGCCAAGTTCCCCAAAACCCCGCCTCCCGGGGACGACCCTCCAATCAGATGCCATGCCCGAGTACAACCCTCTTGCATCACGTGACGAGGCCAGGCCCGCTTCCGGCGCGTCGCAGGCAGATGACGTCGCCTGGACGGCGTCGCGTCAGGGCCGGCGTTGGTGGCGGCGGCGATGGCAGCGGACGCTGAGCGGGCTTGAGGGCTCAGACCCAGCGCCCTCCCGCGCGACCTCGGCCTCGACCTGGCGCTCCCGGCCCAACTCACTCTACAACTGCTCCCTCCCCTGCCGCTGCCTGGGCGGAAGCATAGGCCCGGACTGGCCGCCCTGTTCGTGCCCCAGCTCGGCCGCGGACGGCCCGGCTGCTGTGCGGAGAGGAGGCCGAGTCGGTAAGGGGCGACGGCAGCGGGGCCTGGAGCCCGCTTGGCCCCCGCCTGGCCATCCGGGGAGCCCCCGCACCGGTGTCTCTCTCTGGCCCGCTTCCTTCTCGCGTCCCTCCGCGTAACTCGCCGCCCCTATTGTCTGGCCGCTGCCGCTCCCTCTCCCCACCCTCCCTCCCCCCTGCCGAGGGCCGGACGACTGTCAAACCTGGAGGCGCCTCTAGCTGCCTGCCAGCCCGTCCCTGTCTGAGCTTTTCCTGTCGCGCTCTTTCCCCACTTCGCGTACCGCCTGCCTCTGCTAGTCTCTCGGGCACTCTCTCTATTGCTTCCCTGTCTCCGCTTGGTGTCTTGGTAATTTTGTTTTCTCTCCCAGTTGTCATCTCCCAATCACCATCCTTAGATTTTCTGCCTTTCTTTTTCCCTTTGATTTTCACTCCTTTCCCTGCTCTCTTCTTTTCTGCTGACGCCTCCACCGACTGTCTGACTTTTTAAAAGTTTCTTCCTTCACCTCCTTCCCTCATCCTTTCTCCCTTCCCTGGAAGAAACAAGAAAGCTTGCTTTTCGTTCCGGAATATCTTCGGGGGGGTTATATTTCTTCATCACTTATGACGGCCTCTAAGTGTGTTCCTAGGAAATGGCAGTGTAGGTGGGGAACTGCCCCTTGGCGAGTTCTTCCTGTGACAGACTGTAAAGAAGGGTGATTAGATTTCTGCACAAACATTTAAGTAGTAGCTGTCCCAAATGCTGCACACTGACTGGAGAGCTTTTTAAAGTGAGGCACCCTGCTGCGCTTCCTGTTCCGTTTGTGAGACACTGATCTTTCCTGATGCCATTAAAAACCCCCCGCTGCCAGTGCAGTCCATTTGGACTCTCAGGGACCCTGGAGGACTGGAACTGGCCCCTAGGGTTCCCAAGGCTGCAAGTCTTCACCGATGCAGACTGCCAGGTCTTTCCTTCTTTGGATGGGCTGGTGGAGTCCAACTGTTGACCTTATGGTTAGCAGCCGAGCACTTTAACCACTGCACCACCATGTCTCACAAGAGGAGGCGATTCCAACCCCCTCCTCCATGAGTATTTCAGTTTGATTTTCACACAGTCAGTGTTGATGTTATTTTTTCCCTCTTACCAGATTCTTTCAGAGAAGAAATGGCAAGTAGAATTTTATGTTTGCTTTGTGTTTTGACTTTTTTGAATTGTGACCTGAACCATTTTTCACAGTGACCCAGTTGGGGTGTATGTGTGTGTGTGTGTGTGTGTGTGTGTGTGTGTCTGTGTTTTCTCTGTTTGAAAAACTGCGAGGGAGTGTAGGAGTGATGGTAACCCTAAATAGTTTACACACATGTTCTGTGGGTCCCGTCGACCCCTGTGTGGCAATAGGTTTGCATGCCTGATTACCTTAATATTTTGCTCAGGCTCTCTCAAAATGCACTGTTATATTTCAAGGGTTCCTCAGAGAAGAAGAGTCTACCTCAGGCTAGTGTGGCCCAAAGGGTAGTAAATGATCCAACCTGAACAGATGCTGAAATAGATTCTCGTTTGTACTTTTCTGTTTGTTTTGACATAGCAGCCACTTTGATTGTCAATGTAAACGCTGTCTATGTTGAAATACAGTAGTTCTCCGAGTTAGAAGGAAATCTATTGGATTGTTGCTTATTAAATGGGAAGTGTAAGAAGGAAATTTGCTTTGCAACTTTATATGTTAAATTAGAATGATTGAATTATTTGATACCAAGATAGAGGAATGGTTGGTAATGAAAACTCCTGTTTTGAAGAGCAGTTATTAAAATCTTCACTGAAGGAAGAATGTGTCTCCTTCTTTGTCCAATTTTGTGTGCTCCTTGGTGTCATATGTAGTGTTTTGTAGTTTTAGTACTCAATCAGTATTTGTTAAAAGTAAATGAAAAACTTGATTAATTTACTTGCCTAAGAATTTTATTAATCATATATTTCAGACTACTCAGTTATTTTAACTTTAAGACCCATTATTTTAACTAATTATTATTAAACTAATTATTAAAAGTTAAACTGTTAACTAATTATTTCAACTTTATAAGACCTGAAAGTAATTTCACTGTCATTGTGGAGAATTGTCTTGGGTCTTTTCAAATTAAATTTTAAATAATTTTAGTTGTTAGCAAGCTGTAATGGCCTATCTATTCATTCTTTTTAAGTCGTTATCTTTTTCCTATGTCCTTTTTAATTCAGCATCAAGATTGCTTTCACATTGCACAATACCTGGATATGTTTCTAATTACTGTTCAGTTTTTTAAACTAGGGCAATTATTTTAACTTCTCATACATTCAAAATTCTGTTTAATTTTGCCTATTTTCTTACTTTGTGTTACACTGTATTGCCTGTACATTTTATGGTTCAGAATCTAACAGTTATTTTTTTGTTTCTTTGCTTGTTTGTTTTTCCCTTGAGGCAGTGAAAAGAGCATACTGAAGAATAGGATTTCAAGATGAGTAAAAAGCCCCCAAATCGTCCTGGAATCACTTTTGAGATTGGTGCTCGTTTGGAGGCACTGGACTACTTACAAAAATGGTATGAAAAGTAAAGAGCTTTTGATCCAAAGTGTAGTGTCTGGAGCCTCACATACGGTTCATTGCTTAATTTGCTGACGTGGCAGAAACATCAGTTTTGAATGCACATACATATTATTTCTTAGTTTTCGTAGTCTTCAACAGACTTTTCAGGTTTAGTGTTTAAAAATATTTCTATCATTGTAGGTGTTTGCCAACTGACAATAAGTATCTAGATTATGCAATGCATAGAGAGTATCCGTCCCCTTGTGTACTTAAATGAGCTGTACGTGTGAGGTAGGATTAATCCAAATCCTTCTTCCCAAGTTTTGGATAAATTGTGGTACACAGTAAATTTGTGAAAGCTGGAACCTGTGTGAGGTGGAAATCTGTCAGAGAAGAAAAACCCAAATGTTGTCCACTAATAGTGATGGAAAAGTGGGAAGACTGCACCCAGTCAAAGGCGGAAAACCTGTGAGGCCCTGAAAAGCAAGGCAGTCCCAGGAGTTCTGGCTCTCAACAGGTTTCACTGAAAATCTCTTTTCTTGGCATATGCTGTAGGTAGTCTTACAAACTGCAGAATATATTAATGGTTAGCATAGTGGTTTTTTTTTTTTCCCCACCATGTGCACTTACAGAAATGTCCTCATTATTCACTGTCTTACCTAAAACCAAAAACATGCTCACCTCTACCTTCCCTGAGGGTTGTGACTTAAAGGCTTGTTCAGTTACTGCCTCTAGTATTAAATTCAGGATCTCTAGGGATAGCATTTTCCCAGATCTGGATACTTCTATTCTGGCTGTCTCTTGTCGTTGGTAGGTGGTCAGTGTAAATACCCTTAACATACCCCTTATACAGTGGTATAGGAAAAATAGGATAACTGGAATAAAGCTGTAACAAATAGAATAACTGGAAATGAGAGAAGGGGGAGAAACACACAGGGCCACAGTGGAAAGAACACTGGGTCCCTCTTCTTCCCAGTCAGGTAGTTAGCCACACTTAGTTCTGCTTTCTTGGAGGGGGTCTCTGGTTGCCATTCTCAAGCCCCTCACCTGACAGGGGCTTTAGGACGAGTTGTCTTCTGGGAGCAGTGTTGCACTGGCTGCTCTGAAGCCAGCTTATTTTGGGCAGGGGCCTCGTGGGTTAGCCATTCCAGGACTTTGACGGCTAGACTCTGCCATTTTCTGTCACTGCCTCAGAAACCATAGTTGGCATTTTGTAGATTTGCTTCTGCTTGATTTGCATTAAGTCGCCTCCCTGAGTTGGCAGTGACAGGTAAGAAATCTTGTTGAGTCACGATTTTGGACTTCAGACTAGTCTGGGGTTTCTCTCTCTTTAGCAGCTGGCATTAGAAGTTCTGTACACTTCCCGGACTCCTAGTATAGTGGGCTCTGCTTTGGGACAGTTTGTAACTGCAATCTAAGGTGAGGAGGTATATTATTTGACCCTTTGCCCCAAGCTGCATCTCAGTGGGTAGTTCCTTTTAGGGGCTGCATTGCTGCTCTTCCAGGTGGGGGGTTCTTCACTGTGTTCTGGGAGGAGTTTGGGATGACCTGGGGATTCCTTCTTTCTGTTCTCTCCTGAGTTTCCTGGCTCACCTGCCTTTGCCCCAGCCACCCTTTAGCAGAAGTGCTTTTCTCTTGGGCAGCGCTCTTGGTTATCTAGTCTTAGCCATCTGACACTTTATGTCCCAGAGAGAAAGAAGAGCCTTGCTTATTAGCAAAGCTGTAACCCTTCCCTCTGCTTTAACGAAATCAAATGTGACTAAAGGTATTCTCTTTCTTATGTTAATGTATTGGAAGCCCCAGAAAGCAGTGAGCACAGTTCAACATGCAGACATTGTTCATGCCCAGCCCCTCAAAACCCCAGCTTCAGTAGACACCAATTGGAGGCCAAGATACAAGCAACTCTTTAACCCATTCCCATCAGCATCACCTAAAAGGAATTACCTATTTTGGGGGCATCCTCTCCTCTGTCAGCCAGTACTACTTTTTAATGTCTATTACTTGTGATACCTAATTTCCAGGGAACAGTATTTTTTCTTAGGACCCTTTCTGTTGCGAGAGACAGAAACCCAAATGATACTAATTTATAGAAAAAGAAATTTCTTGGGTCACATAATGGAAATGCCAAGAGGAACTTGAAGGGTGATGGTTGCCTCATCTTTTCTTAAGTCTAGGTTTTGTGTTTTTATTTAAAATTATTTTTGAGATTGTTAGCATAATCCTCTGGTTAGGCGTAAGTATAGAAATATTACAAGCTGAATATTAGTGGGTTTACATTATTTGCCATTTGGGTTCCTTATGTTAGCACCCCTTTTCTGGATATAATTGTTGAAGTCATGACTGTTGTATGAAAACTGCTTGCCTTTATTCTCTGCAGTAACCTTTACGGTTAAGTACCATTAGATTAGGATACTTACTTGTAGCAAGAGGTTGTCTCTGCACTGTGTAATGTTTAGCAGCTTGGCTTCTGCCCACTAGATACCAGTAGCATCCCTCCTCGTCAGGACAGTAAAAATGGTGGCTGACTTTGCCAGATGCCTGCTGGTGAGCAAAATTGCCCCCATTGAGAATCACTGCATTAGACCAGCAACAAAAGATGCTATTTTAGTCAGTAATGGGCTCTGGTTCTGATTTGACCAAGAGAAGCATTTTACTGTGAGACACATGGTTCAATCACTGTGAGATGAGAAATGATACTTCCTGCTTCTTTGTTAATCTTAAATTAGTTTTTCCTATTTTTAAAAGTTTCAAACTTTGTGAGTTACTAGTTCATTCTTATTAACCTGTTCTCTCAGGCTTCCAAAGTGACAGTTGCAGTTGAACTAATTTCTACTCGTGGGAAAGCACATAGTTTAAGTGTTGTAGTGGTTTTTCAGGGAGTTAGCTTTCCTATTAGTTAGCCATTCATTTTTGGTGGTAAAATGTTTGCTAATTCAAAAGGTGTTCACTGTATATGCACTCCCCTTTTTTAAAAGATGATTAAAAAAACCTTCTAAAATCAAGCCTGAATGTGCAGATGGGCTGGGTGTTTAGAATACAGTATTTGGAATTTTGGAGAAGAACGTCGTAGCTCATTTTTCACTGCTTTATGCTTCTCACCAAGAAATTCTTCAATGCGTAGGTGGGGTGATATCGTACAAATGTACTCACTGTTGAAGTTTATGTTTAATTATTATGACCTTGGTAGTAAAGGTCTCTTTAATGTAAGTAAACATGAGCTCTTGTAATTATATATGATAATCATTGAAACTTGTCATCAGTTCAGATTTTATGAGTTCATTTATATAAATATTCTAGCTTTCTCCTGCAGGCGATTATTAGTTTAAAAAAATTAAGAGTATTATATATACTTATTGTGCGTAATTCAAAGGCATCATTTTTTGATTTTGACTTTATTTCTTAATGTCAGTAGTCTCAAGAACTAATTAGGCTTGGGGGACCCTTCAGTTGAACCTTAAGGGCTTTTGCCATAGGATAATTGATTAATTACTAAGAGATACCAGATTTTATGTGGAACTAAAGAAGTTCTATGAGATATGGTATCATTAACAGATTTTATTTATAAATACAATAATAAAATTTATTCTTATCATTCTGTTTTAAAGAGCCAGTCTATATTTCATGTAAATTCAAAAAGTTTTGCTTGAATATTAGGTAAAAGTGTAGAAGAGTCATTCAAATATTTAGAAACATTGACATTCTTGTCAGAAACAAAACAGTTAATTACTGGAAATCTACTGAAATAATTCTTTGACCACTTTGCTCCTACATCCTTTCCTTCCTCCCTCTTCTCTTTCTTGTTCTATTCTGTTGTATCCATATTGAACGTTTATTCTTCTAGTTTATATTCAGTTGAGTTTGAAAAGTTTGAATCCCTATTTGACATGAATATAGTTTGAACTATTATAGGCGATGGTTGTGGAGGGAGGAGTTATCGTGCAACTATTGCTTGCTTTCTCCAAACTAAAAATAAAAATAAAAAAAAAAACCCAGGAGCTCTGGTGGCGTAGTGCCTAAGGCATTTGACTGCTAACCAAAAGGCTGGTGGTTCAACCCCACCAGGCACTCCTTGGAAGGAAGATTGGGTAGTCTATTTCCATAGAGATACTGCCTTGGAAACCCAGAGGGATCTCTAAGACATTTACAATAAGCAGTGCATCTTTTATTGAGGAAATAGCATGCCACAAAGTGATTTAATGAATGTAAGTAAAATCCCTCTTGGCCTTTACGGAGACCTGAACAGAAAGGGAAAGTAATGATAATGGGACACCCATAAAGCCAGTTTTTCTTCTGTGTTAAAGATATGTCCTATAAATGGAAAATAATTTTTAGTATAAGTTGTAGAAATAAAAGGATAAATCTAAATTTAGCAGACAGGGTTACAGTGAAGTCGAGCTCTCACGTTAGGTGGGGGGTAGACTTGATATAATGAGAAGACTCAATCTGTTTTTCTTGGGAAAACTACATTCTGAATACTGGAGCAAATCATATCACATAATGCTTAGAGTTCAGAGAAAGAGCTTATCCTTGAAAATGCAGTACACTCTAGACTTTTCAGTGTGATTTATTCCTTATTTATTTATATTTGTGAAGTAACTTTGCCTGCATCAGTGAATTTGTTAACCATTTGATTATCTGCCCAAATGGCTGACTGTGGGCCCTGAAAGGCTATTGAAAGGCAATCATCGTTAATTCATGTATTTGGTTGTTAATACTTAGATCTCCTCTACAGTGACTAATCCTAACTCTTACTGAGTAGAATGCTGTTGTTATTGTTGTTGTGTGCCATGGAGTCGGACCTGGCAATCCCTCCTTGGGTTTCCGAGGCAGTATCACTACAGAAGAAGATTGCCCCATCTTCCTTCCGAGGAGTGGCTGGTGGGTTTGAACCACCAGCTTTCTAGTTAGCAGTCAAGTGCCTTAGGCACTACGCTACCAGAGCTCCCAGAGTAGAATGGGTTACTTTAATTTAAAAAAAAAAATTGTAAGATTTTACCTAAAACATTTTTTAAAAAT